AGCCATGTCCCAGGTGAACCCCTCATTCTCCCTGACCTGTACTCCTGTGCCAGAAGGAGGTGGGAGCTGTGGAAATTCCATGCATGCATTCACTGTGGGGAAGCCAAGTCCAGGCAGGCAGACCCCTGCAATGGGTAGAGTAGTGGATGTAATTTATAGGGATTTCAGTAAAGTGTTCGACAGGGTCCCGTATGGTAGACTAGTTAACAAAGTTAGATCACATGGAATACAGGGAGAATAGCCATTTGGATACAGAACTGGCTCGAAAGTAGGAGGCAGAGGGTGGCACTGGGATGTAACCGATGTTCCTACTGCAGTAATCCGCCACAGTGGTGGGGAAGGCTGGGTTGCTCCTCCCACCACTTTCCCCATCATATATCGGGCCCTCTTGCTTCCCAGCACATCACCAATGGCCTGGGAAAATATCTTCAACCCTCTGCTTGCTTTTGTTCTTTTGCCAGCATGCAAAATTAAGAACACAAATGAAGGAGCGCAGAGAGAAATTTGACCTGATCAGAGAAAGCCAACACGGATTTGTGTTGAATAAAAACCAAAAGAACTGCATTTGCTGGAAATCAGAAACAAAGTTTCTGAAACAAATTCAAGGAAGTTTCAGAGGAAGGGTCACTGGACCCAAAACATTCATGCTGATTTCGCTGCGCAGATGCTACCAGACCTGGTGAGTTTTTCCAGCAATTTCTGTTTTTGTTATGGATTTGTATTGGGTAGGTCATGCCTGACAAACCTTGCTTCGAAAATTACCCAGCAAAGCAGTTAAGGATTTTTTTCTCTATCAGTTAATTAGATGTCATCATCAGTAGGAAGACCAATATTTATTGACCATCCCCAACTGCTTCCAAGAAGGTCATGGTGAGCCATCTTCTTTGACTGTAGTGTTAGGGAGGGTTTCAGGATTTTGACCAGAGGTAATGAAGTTATAGTGAGTGATATGTTACCAAATCAAGGCATTGTGTATCTTAAGGGGACCATATACAGCTGATAGTCCCATGCAATTGGGGTGCAGCATGGTGGCTCAGTGGTTAGCATGCCGCCTCACAGCACCAGGGACCTGGGTGCAATCCCACCCTCAGGTGACGGACTACGTGGAGTTTACATGTTCTCCCCACGTCTGTGCGGGTTTCCTCTGGGTGCTCCAGTTTCTTCCCACAGTTTGAAAGATGTGCAGGTTAGGTGGATTGGCCATGGGAAATGCAGGGATAGGGTAGGGGGTGACTCTGGGTAGGCTGCTCTTTGGAGGGTCTGTGTTGTCTTGATGGGCCAAATGGCCTGTTTCTACACTGTAGCGATACTATGATGATTCTATGAATTGCTGCCCTCCAGTTGATAGTCACAAATTTGTAAGGAACTGTCAACGAAACATTGGTGAGTTGTTGCAGTGCATCTGGCCAGTGGGGAAGAGAGGCAATCTTTAAGATGTTGCATTTACTTCAGGGAATGCAATAGGACCTAAAAACCAGGGGACCCCACTCTGCTCACCATGGGGGCAGGCTGCTGTGATGGTGTTGAGGATGGGGAAGAGGGTTGAGTCAGTATGCTCAGGTTGAGGGTTGTGACCAGGAGCAGCTCTGGGACCCATGATTTCTGCCCCTGCTCCTGGTGCGAGTTACTTTGTCCTGGATAATGCTGAGCTTTTTGTGCATCGATGGAGCTGTAGCTCATCCTGATGGATAGATTGCATTCCATCACACTCCTGACTTATATCTTGCAGATAGTAAACCAGTTTTGTTGGGTGGTGGGGTGTGGTGGGGGAGGTGGGGTGTGATGGGGGTGGGTGTGGGGGAGATGGGCAGTTGGGGGGAACAGCAGGAGGTGAATTTCTTGCCCCAGAATATCCTGCTTTTGTTGGTGTTGTATTTATGAGACTAGTTCAGTTTTTGATTTGATTTGATTTATTACTGTCACCTGTACTGAGATACAGTGAAAAGTGTTGTCTTAGGTGCTTCACTGGCAGATTGTACTATGCAGTGCATCAGGGTACAAGGACAGAGTGTAGGATATAGTGTTACAGCTGCCGAGAAGGTGCACAGAGAGATTAACGTTAACGTTTCAGAGGTCCATTCAGAAACGGCAGTGTTGTGAACACAACTCAGTTAAAAATTTGGTCAATAATGATGATGTAGGATTCAGTGGTGATAATCTTATTGAATGTCAAAAAGAGTGTTGGGAGTCTTACACTCAGAGATACACAGGACGGAAACACCCCTTTGGTCCAACTCGTCCACTCCGACCCGATAGCCTAAAATAATCTAGTCCCATTTGCCAGCATTTGGCACATATCCCTCTAAACCCTTCCTAATCATGTACCCATCCAGATGCCTCTTAAATGTTGTAATTGTACCAGCCTCCACCACTTCCTCTGGCAGCTCATTCCATACACGCACCACCCTCTGCATGAAAAAGTTGCTCCTTAGATCCCTTTTAAATCTTTCCCGTCTCACCTTAAACTTATGCCCTCTAGTTTTGGACTCCTTCACCCTGGAGAAAAAACCTTGTCTATTTACCCAATCCATGCCCCTCATGATTTAATAAACCTCCATAAGGTCACTCCTCAGCCTCTGACACTCCAGGGAAAATAGCCCCAGCCTATTCAGCCTCTCCCTATAGCTCAAACCCTCCAACCCTGGCAACATCTTTGTAACTCTTTTCTGAACCCTTTCACAACATCCTTCCTATAGCAGGGAGATGGGAACTCTCTTCCCCAGAAAGCAGTTCAGAGATTATTTTTAAGATAGAAGTTAATACATTGCAAACCAATAGGGGACCGAATGGTTGTGCAGGGCAGGATTGGAATGTTGAAGTCACAATCAGTTCAATTATAATCTTACTGAATGGCAGTGCCGGTAAAGGACCTGACTGCCCTGATTTTTTTTTTATTCATTCACGGGATGTGGGTGTCACTGGCTAGACCAGTATTTGTTGTCAATTCCTAATTTCTCAGGGGCCAGTTAAGAATCAGCCGCAATCCTATGGGTCTGGAGTTATAAGTAGGCCAGACCAGATAAGGACAGCAGAATTCTTTAGCAAAATGGAATTAGTGAACCAAATTTTTTTTATGACAATTGATGGTAGTTACGTGGTCATTTTTATTCCAGATTCTTGTTGAATTCAGATTTTACCATATGCCATGATATGCCTAGAACATTAACTTGGGGAGATGAATTAATAGCCCAGTGACATTACCACTACGTCCCCATCTCCCCTGTTCTTATGTAATGGATGTATTTTATAGCAATTCAAGCTGATGTAGAATCTGTGTGGGTAGAGTTGAGGAACCACAAAGGTTAAAAAAAAACATAATGAGAGTTATGTACAGGCCTCCAAACAGTAGTCAGGATTTCTGGCACAAGATACACCAGGAGATAGAAAAGGTGTGTACGAAATGCAAGGTTACAGTGACCATGGGGGATTTCAACATGCAGGTGGATCGCAAGAAAAGGAATTTGTAGAATGTCTACGAGATGGCTTTTTGGAGCAGCTTGTGGTGGAGCCCACTAGGGAACAGGCGATTCTGGATTTAGTGTTGTGCAATGAGGCAGACTTAATAAGGGAGCTTAAGGTGAACGAACCCTTAGGAGGCAGAGACCATAATATGATAGGATTTACTCTATAATTTGAGAGGGAGAAGCTAGAATCTGATATAATGCTATTACAGCTGAATAAAGGGAACTACAGAGGCATGAGGGAGGACCAGAATTGACTGGGAGAGGAGCCTTGCAGGAAAGACAGTGAAATAGCGATGGCAGGAGTTTCTGGGAAGAATTTGGGAGACACAGCAAAAATTCATCCTTAGGAAAAAAAAGTATACTTAAGGGAAGATGAGGCAACCATGGCTGCCAAGGGAAGTCAGGGACAGCAGAAAAGCAAAAGAGAAAGCATATGAGGCAAAAGGGAAGTGGGAAGCCTACAAAGACCAGCAGAGGACAACGATAAAAGAAATAAGGTGGGAGAAGATTAAATATGAGGGTAACCTAGCCAGTAATTTAAGAGAAGGTTACAAGAGTTTCTTTAGATATATAAATGGCAAAAGAGAGGCAAAAGTGGACATTGGGCTGCTGGAAAATGATGCTGGAGAAATAGTAATGGGGAACAAAGAAATGGCAGAGGAACTGAACAAGTATTTTGTGTCAGTCTTCACAGTGGAAGATGCAAGTAGCATCCCAAAAATTTAAGAGAGTCAGGGTGGGCAGAGGTGAGTATGGTGGCCATCACCAAGGAGAAGGTGCTAGAAAAACTGAAAGGTCTGAAAGTGAATAAATCGCCTGGACCAGATGGGCTACACCCTAGAATTCTGAAGGATGTATCTGAAGAGATAGTGGAGGCATTAGTGGTGATCTTTCAGGAATCATTGGAGTCAGGGAGAGTCCCAGAGGACTGGAAAATTGCTAACGTGACACCCCTGTTTAAGAAGAAGTAAGGCAAAAGATGGGAAATGACAGGCCAATTAGCCTGACCTCAGTTGTTAGTAAGATTTTGGAGTCCATCATGATGGATGGCATTTCTGAATACTTGGAAGTGTATGGTAAAATAGGGCAAAGCCAGCAAGGTTTCATCAAAGGAAGGTCATGCCTGACAAATCTGTTAGAATTCTTTGAGGAAGTAACGAGCAGGGTAGACCAAGGAGTGCCAATGGATGTTATCTACCTGGACTTCTAGAAGGCTTTTGACAAGGTGCTGCACAGGAAGCTGCTGAGTAAGATAAGGGCCCATGGTGTTACAGGCAAGGTACAAAGTGAGAGAGAGAGGAGAGAGAGAGAGAGAGAGAGAGAGAACTAAGAAGCTGGGCCTGAGTTTTCAAGGCCTGAGAGAAGAATCTTGAGCAAATGGTTCTGATATCAACAGTGTGATCACCTCCAAGTTTTATTTTGAAGTAAACTTTGACGGATGTGATCAGAGAAATGATTTACGTTGCACTCACGAGAGTTCATTTTATTTTGATTTGAATAACACCCAAATCATATTCTGTCACTTTTGACCTATAGGAAACTGCGGCAAGCCCGACTTTAAAGTTAAAAATATAGATCTAAGCGAAATAATGGACGCACATTTTGAAGTTGGTCACAGACTCCGATTGAAGTGCCAAAGTGGTTATAAGAGAAAGGCAGGAACATCAAACCTCATCAGATGTCAGAACAACTCTAAACAAGTCAAGTGGTCAGAGCCAAATCTCGAGTGTATAAGTAAGTAACATGTCTTGCATTGGATGACATAAGATGTACAGCACAGAAACAAGCCATTCAGCCCAGCCAGTCAATGTCAGTTTTTGTGCTCCACTGGAGCCTTGTCCCACCTTTTCTTATGTTAACCTACTATCACAACTATCCATTCTCCTCTTCCTCATTCTGCTCTCACCTGTCCTTAACTGTATCTCTATCAATCGCATCAGTCATTCACTGAGGTAGTGAATTCCACATTCCTACTATATCACTTTGATTTCTGCACCACAACACGTTGAACTTAACCAGGTTATGGGGCTTAATAATCTGGCAAGATACACAACACTGAAGTAATGATCTAGCGTAGAAAGTGCGAAACTTCACATTTCCTTCAGCTATCACAGCATCAGCCTCCAAATAAATTGATCTCCAAATTCTTTTACGGACAATCCAACTTTAAAATTGGGCAACAAATAGTACATATAATGAACTCTTAATCTCATAGGTAGCTGTCAGTGACATATCTGGACCTTTTCATTAGTGCACAACACACTGCAAAGTTCAATAAAAATACCTATATATGTTGCTCTGATACATTGAAGTGTAAAGTCTATAATGATAATTTGCTGGTGATTGTAACGGTGAAACTACTTTACTGCTAATTACAGTCATAAACATTATGCTTTAACTTTTCACGGCTAAGAATTAGTTTGTGTTTTATAGTAGTTGGTGGGTCACCTGATTAGACTGTAAATGTATATCTCTGACCTATTCACCATGAGACTCATCTGGCTGCGTGTGTTTGACAGAACAGAAAAAAGTAAAATGGTTTAAATTACACTGGGCTCCTTTTCAGATCTGAAATCGGTAGCGTGCATGGAGCACAAGTACTAACCAGAATTTCTGAGTCTGGTCCAAAATAGGTATTCTATCCATCACCTTAAACATGCAATCACACACACACTATATACCATGTAAAAGGTGCACTGTAGTGACTGAAGCAGGCTCCTTCGACAGCAACTTCCAAGTGCACAACCTCTACAATCCAGAAGAATAAGGACATCAGATACACAGGAACAACACCACGTCCCCTCCAATACACACACCATCCTGACTCGGAATTATATCGCTGATGCTTCACAATCCTGTAAGTACCTCCCTAACAGCACTGTTGGTATCTCTACCTCCCATGGACTGCAGCAGTTCAAAAAGTCAGCTCACCGGCACCTTCTCAAGGCCAATTGAGGATGATGAGTAAATGCTGGCCTTGCCAGCAATATTCACACGCCATGAAAGAATAAAAAATGTGGTTGAGCTGCTAGCAGCTATTAGTCGTCCAGAGTTAGAGGCCCAAATGTGTCTCCCATGAACAGTTAGTGGAGCATTAACTTGGCAACAAGGGGCATTCCTATTCTACCTCGGTCCACAGAAATCTTTTATGTTGTTTTTAACCTTACACCCCCATTGAAGAATCTCATTCTGATCATCCAAATTCAACTCCAGGAAGTGACGTGTTTTAGGTGGTCGCACAGGTGCACTTGAGAGTCCATCTCACATCATGTCTTTCAGGCTTTCAAAGTTGACCCATGTTGTGCCCATTTTACACCACAAAATAACCTCTGTCCTGGTGTTATACAACATGAATTCATAGAACCATAGAATTTTACCATACAGAAGGAGGCCCATCATGTCTGTACCAGCAATTTCAATTGTTTTGTAACAAAACATATCAATGGCTCCTGCAGTAAACCAGTTGCTAAAGGAACTGCCCAATATTGTATGGTATTAGATCAGAGGTACTGGTTTGTGCTCCTTGTTCATTGATTGCAGCCAGAACAGCAACCACTTAGGATACCGGCAACATCACAATGGTATGTTATTATCCAGCAAGAGTCCACACTTTCAGGAAAGAAGGAAGAATGGAAGAAAATATAAGACAAAATTGACAAGTGGAACATCCCATACTTTTTATTTCCTAACACAAATGAGACAGCCTCGGAATTGTACTTAGGCCAAACCATTCACTGTTCGCACCTTAACCCCATTTGCACATAGAGTCATAGAGGCCTCCAGCATGGAAACAGGCCCTTCGGCCCAACTTGCCCATGTCGCTCAGTCTTCACAGTCAAACTGGACCCATTTGCTAGTGTTTGGTCCATATCCCTCCATACACATTCCATCTATGTGCCTATCTAAATGCTTCTTAAAATGACAAATTTGTACTCGCTTCCACCACTATCTATGGCAGACCCTTCCAGACACTCACCAGCCTTTGTGTGAAAAAATTGCCCTTCTGAGCTACTGCTGTGATGTCCTAAAATCCAAGGGATACCTGACTGGGGTTTTACTAATGTCTAGAACCCCTTTTTGTAATTTTTAAGGACTTGTCACTTCTACAATTTACTAATCATCCTCTTCTTCACAATTATTTTTGGTTCATATACGCTCAAAGCAATTCTTTCAACTGAATAAAATGTGACTCTGTGTAAAAACATTGTGGAATCAGAGATGGCCTTTTGGCAGTCAGTCCTTTATACACCTTCCCTTGTGTGTTAAATTTTCTGTACCCTGGATATCTTGTGTGAAGTCAGGTCTATGCTCCTGAATTTAGACCAAGATAAAGTTTTAAATCCTGTGAGGCCCTCTATCACTAGTGGGCCTCACTGTATTGAGCTCATTTTGAAAAGGTGTAATTCAGCGAGTAATTCAGGTTTGATATTTATTGCCATCCAGATCTTCATGATCTAACTGAATGTCAGAAGAACTTGAGTAGCTAAATTCCTTTTACCCAAATTCCTATCGTAAAGCATGTTGTCGGGGGTGATCTTTTGGCTCAGCACCCTTAGTTAATTTTAAAATATCATTCCTCAAAAAAATGCTTTGACCATTCCTTTCTTTGCACCTCTTCTGTATGCTCTACTTTATTGAATTTAACAAAATAAAAACCCCTACTATATTATCTCTTCCACTGAATAAAAATGAATAGGTTGCCAGATTAATTTTTTTGGTTGACTGTATGTTCCTTTACTTTCTCACATGAAGGCAGCACCACTGACAAAGTCAAACACAGAGTATTCTGGAGAAACTCAATAGAACTGAAGACGAGTTACACCAGACTCCAAAGATTAACTCTGTTTCTCTCTCCGCAGAGGCTGCCAGGCCTGATGAGTTTCTCCAGCATTCTCTGGGTTGTTTCAGATTTCCAGCATCTGCAATATGTTACTTTTATATTGTTGAAGCAGTCACCTGTGAAATAGCGTTTTTGTTCCTTCTTCTCTTCTCACTCTTCATATAGCAGTTTAAATCATGATCACATATAATTCAGAATTAAGTTTCAGTGGGCAGGTTAATTATTTTCTTAGTACAGAGATTTATTTAGTCCTTTCAAAGAAGGTCATTGTCAATTTCAGCCACAATAAGTTTTCAACACTGTTTAATTAAAACTACTCAATTGGATGTGATATTATTGTCAGCACTAGAACATACACAAGCTTTACTTGACTCAGTATAAAGGGACTGTCTTCAAGCAGAAATACATTTATGTGCCTGTGTCTAGTGCAGTTGCAAATACATTTCAAATCAATGGGAATCACATGGCAACACAACATTGGGCAATTGGATGTGACATTTTGGTGCACAATTCTTCTGGGGCTTATCTTACATGAAACAAAGATTTGGCAAATATCATTTAAGAAATTGAGAAATATGGTTAACAGGAGTAGGCTTCATGTCTTGTTCAAATTATTTTCTTATTAACTTGTTCAGAAAAGTCATTGCATACTTCTAGAATTGAACCTTGCCTCCTAGTGTCACAAGAGCCCTCTTTCCATCTTGTTCAATTTTACTTACCAATCGTCTTCAAAGTTTTCAGAAAATTCTATCAGATCACCTTTACTCAACTTGAACAGATCAACTTTTCTTACTATTTCCTCCTAACTTAAAAGTATTTCTCAAAAATTCTGTGTGCCTTGATATTGCTGGACAAAAATAGAGACCAAAGTCCCTTTAGTTCACCTACCAATTTAGTGGACACATGATCAAATGGTGATGGAGTTTTTGACTCACCATAATTAACAATCTCTATCAATTAGTTTATAATAGACCCAAATATAAGATAAGGAAAATCTCAGTGGTGGAGAGCTTTGGGAACTACATATCCTAAATTACCTGATTCTTCCAAGCACACAGTATTTACTGTGTGTAACATCTCATGCAGCTCATATAACATACCTTTAAAATGTCATTAATCAAACAGGTACCGTGCCAGACAAATATACTATCATCAGCTGTTATCTTTAATATTAAGATAATTGCTGATTCAATTACGAATCTAATCAGCTACCAAGAAACTTCAGCTGAATTATTTTAACTTTTAGATGGTGGATGATCTGTAAAAGAAAAGTAATCATTTTTATTACTTGTTCAGGTGAACAGCTTTTCAAAGTGCAATAACATCTGATTACATTTAACACTGATTAACATTTAATTTAAAGCTGCATTGCTTGACACCCTGAAGAGGTTTTCTTGGGTTGTGTTTCCTGAAATCCTAATTTAGCAGGATCTGATAAGTCATCTTTATTTGACCTGTATAAATTGAAAATTTTAGAACGTAGAGGATAAAAGGACTTGGTGAGCCTGAGTGTTGGAAAGTGATAACCCTAATCAGCTATCTGTCTGTATGAGTGTGAACACAGCTATTACTATTGTTATAACAAGGTGTAGAGCTGGATGAACACAGCAGGCCAGGTGGCATCAGAGGAGCAGGAAAGCTGATGTTTCGGGTCTGGACCCTTCCGAAATTTCTCAGACTCCAGCATCGGCAGTTCCTACTATTACTATTGTTGTTGATTTACTCAGGGAGTTAATAAGCTTTCAAAATAGTGATTGTGTAGGTGGGTATTGATGGAATATGTGGTGCTTTTTCAAAATTGGATTTAAGATACATGTGAGGGGAAGATGGATGAGCACATTTGGGAGACAGAAATAGAATGTTACTAGGGTAGCGTTAGCTGAAGCGGGACAAG